CTTACAAGACATTTTTCTTCTCTTCTTATATCTATAGTTGTGAATTGTGATGTATTTGCTATGCTCGTCTTTGGGAATTTGAGTCCAATTTATAGAATCAGATACGTAAATGTCGTGTAGGTGTCCTGGGTGAGCTTGTAGATTGAAAGTCAAAACTTAAGTAGCCTTTTAACCCAAAAAAAAAACTTAAGTAGCCAGTTTTTAATACATCTGACTTTGTAACTTGTTTGGCAAAAGCTTTTAATGCCTCCTTTGACATTGTAAAGCTTTGAAAATTATAGATTGCTAATCGATACCCAAATTTTGATTTAAGATAAAAAAAATAGAGCATTGACCGATCAAGGGAAAGGTTGCATCTCTTGACTTATGTACGCATGAGTTCGATTCTCAGTAGAAACTAAATTACTTTTTGCTAGGACCATTTGGATTTAGGACTTTAGCACAGATGTTGAACTTGTGGTGAGCTTGAGAGAAAGTTCTACCAAGAATATGCTCACTTTCAACAATATAGTCAGGACTGATCTTAGTTTTTTTGATTCTGCAAATTCGGTTACGGGATATCTAATGCTAATCTTTAAAAGAAAAAATACATATGTGATTCAAAAAATAATAGTGATTGTTGATTGTTATCATATTGGATGGACTTGTCCATGGCTCCCGATGCTTTTATCTTTCTTTTTTTTTCTGTTCAACAGACTGTTTTTCATTAAATTAAAATGGTGACCTTACAAGAGTGCAAAGCACAATACATAAAGACATTACAACTTGAAGCATAAAAACTAGGATAATTATACGACCGCGAATCAAGACCAATTTCTTGATGCGTCAGCTCACGGTCAAACCGGAAAGCATAGGGTTAGTCACTTTGAACCGTGATTTTGAAATGTTACCCATCCCGCTGAGATCCATCGAAACAATCTCAATTGCATCTTTAGCTCCGGATTCGGCCGCTACACAAGAGCATAAAATGGGACATTAATTTTATTCACTTCCAAGTTTTTTTTTTTTGAAAAAAGAATCCACTTCCAAGTTGCAACCATTACTACATTCATTTATTTATAACTTTGGAAATCAGTATTAATAGTCCAGGTAACGAAAACCGAAACTATTCACGCAAACGATAACTTACAGTCTTACATATTAACCATCCACTCTATATACTACGACACACAGAAGTCGTGGTCCATACACAAGTCTAGCCGGAGGCAGGGATTCGGTCGACGATCCCGTGGCTATTAACCCAAACCCTGACCCGGTCGCACCTAAAGTCTCCAGTCACCGGACTTCCCTCCAAAATCACGACTGCATCGACCCTCGGGTTCTCTCTTTCTATCACTGAAGCCGCATAGTCTCCCCTTTTTCCCAAAAGCTCCGGCCATGCGTTCTTCTCTGCAAGCAGTCAAAACAACCCACGTTTAGAGACCAGTGCCATCACTCGATTTCCATGGAATTAAAACACTATGCCCTACTAAATGATACAACATTAGCTTATGAACAAAACGAGAGAGTACTAAATAATTTTACGATTTGATTTGAACGGAAATAAAAAAGAAAACTTACCTATATATGTAAGAAAGAAAGAAAAACCACAACAAGAAAACAGGGTCGTTTCCGACGGCCAAAACCGTCGGAAATCCGTCGGAATAACTCCTATTCCGACGGATTTCCGACGGTTTTTGTCCATCGGTTCTATCTCGTCGGAAATCCGTCGGAAAAACCTGACGGATTTTCGACGGAAAAGGGATAACCGGAATCCATCGAAATTCAGTCGGAAGTCCGTCGGATTCCAATTGCCGATGGATTTCTGACGACAGTGGTCACCGACGGACTTCCGACGGAAAGAAATACCGACGGATTTCCGACGACGGGGTGACCGACGGATTTCCGACGGCATTTTTTACCGACGGATTTCCGACGACTATAAATTCCGACGGATTTCCGACGACGGTGGTAACCGACGGATTTCCGACGGCACTTTTGCCGACGGATTTCCGACGGCCACGCAAACCGACGGAATTCCGACGGATTTATTATTTAAAAAAAAAGATTTCT